GTTCCTCTGTGATGGTCTCTGGAGTTCCTCTGTGATGGTCTCTGGAGGTTCTCTGTCACGGTCTGTGATGGTCTCTGGAATCCCTCTGTCACAGTCTGTGTTGGTCTCTGGAGGTTCTCTATCACGGTCTGTGATGGTCTTTGGGGGTTCTCTGTCACGGTCTGTGATGGTTATGAATTTTCTCTGTCACAGTCTGTGGGGAAGCGGAGAGAGTGGGTCCAAAATTTCTACCCTATACACTTCAATACTCCTTTCAGATCGTGTTTGACAAAATAATGCATTAAAAAACATTATATTCCAATAGCATATAATAAAATAAAAATAGAACATAACATTTGATAGCAATCGACTATATTGTCTTGAAAGCTAATGGAAAGTCAATGTTCTATACTAAAACTGAAAAAAAACAGCTATATCTGAATAATGAACGTAGGAAATTTAATTGAAAAGTAATGAATTATAACGCATGCTATTCGATGAATATATAATCGAAAAACCAGCATTATAGTATTTGATGGAAATCAATCCTTTAGTATTGACGTTGAGATAAAATCTGTATTATAGTGAAGATGAAAATCACTCGTATGATCAGACAGTGGTTGGACGGCTCACCGACCCTACAAAATTTTGAGCCTCCGCTAACAAAATCTTTGATATGTGTATTTTACTCATAAGAGCGCCTAAAAAACCCGCAAATATACACTGAGTCCCCATAAACGAATAAAATATATGTACCAACAATTATATTACTGGAGCACACTCTCTTACCTTCTCAAAATCCTGCATCCCTACTGCTTTCAACTATGAAAATCTTGAAATGTATGTCTTTTACAAATATGCAAACAAAACTTGTGATTTCTTTCACTTAGCTAATTTCAAAGCATACTACTGAGGTAGCTGTATCAAATATCAGACTCGTCATTTAAAGTTCAAAATTTTTTTTCTTTCAAATATCTTAACTTTTGTATGTGAAATAAATCAATCAACTACTTAATATTAAAATATTCTGAAATAACAATAAACTAAAACTTATTGAAAAATAATTCTTAAGAATAATCCGAATATTATCCAAATATAAAATGAAACATTAGAGATTACTATATTATAACTCAAACAAGAACATCCACATACCATTCAATAATAATCCATTCTAATGCATTGCGATATAACATATACAGAGTAATATAATATATATGCATATATGTATATAATTTAAAAATTATGCATTTTAATGCATTGAAAACTGATTCACTGGTAAATATTACTGTCTCATTTGATTCTACTACATTACAGTATGTTGAGAATTCATTAATTCACAAATATTACAATATTATTCAATACGAATGAACTATAATATAACTTGATACCAGATATCATTATATCTTTACTTGTAATGCATCAAAAGATAGCTGATAGAGAAAATTACACCATCTTTCAACAATAATGCATTATAATGCGTTGAGTTTTCATGAATAGTGAATAACAGAATATCATTTTAACAGTAATGCATGATAATGCATTAATATCTCATGAATACACTGGATAACAGAATTTTATTTAACAGTAATGCATTATAATGCATTAAAATATAGCTTGTATTCTAGATTAGAATATCGTTTAACATTAATGTAGTATAATAGATTGGCAACTAAACCATTAGAAATCCAGGAGAAAAATAATAATGAGCAAGAAAAGTATTATTCTTAATATGAGATCTATCGATTTATTTGTTTCGAAACAAGTAAACAAAATATGCATGAACACGAGAGAGCTGCATGAATTAGAAACAAATGATTGCTTATTATAAGTTTCGAAATTGATACAAGACAAGCACTATCATATATACACTTTCTATTAATGAAGAGATGATCAATTATGTTTTCTTTAATGAATTGATGATCAATCATGTTCATTTCAGTGAAGTAATGAGCAGATAATTTCGATCGAATATATAAATCTATGCTATCTTATTCATTCTTTTCTTAATCACTCGCTTGAAAAAGAAATCAATTCGAAAGGCCTCGCGTTATATATTACTATTCTTCTTACTATTTCTCTTCCTTTTTTTTTGTTCTTTTCCTTTTTCTTTTCTTCTTATTTTTCTTTTTTACCTGATTATCAATATAATAAAAATAGTTAAAAAAATAATAAAAAAAATACAAAAACACAAAAAATTATTGTTATTTATTTTGTTCATTATTCTTCTGCTTCCTTGTTATCTACTAAAACTAAAACAATCGTGTTGACTTGTCAAAATAAAAAGAATTGTTATATACATATATTCGTCGAACCATAACCTGCTCATACGTTCGCTCAAAGAGTCAACATGAATTTACAATTTAATATTCCAAATAATAATAATAATACTCGTCGTACTCATATGTCTATAAATCGTCCACTTCCACAAACCATTCCATCATATATTCATTTACGTCCACATATTAATAAAAAACCAAATCTTTATAATGCAGGACAACGAAAAAATTCCCATCCCTATCGAAAATTTCAAACTGGCTCAACAACTACCTTTTCCGGTTATACCAATATATCCAACTATAATCATAATACTATTACTAGTACTAATAATAAAAACAATAATAATAGTCATTATCATCAACATCAACAAAAACAATATAATAATAAGAATACTCATTTAAAATCTTCAAATAGTAAAAAAATACCTTGTCTTATGTCTGTCGATCTTATGTCTGTCGATCTTTTCCAACAACCACCAAGAAAAAATCGTCGCAAAATAGAACATGCTGAACAATATAAAAAACAAACAGTATTACATCAACACGAAATAATGAAATATCATGAAAATAATAATAATAAATTAAAAGGTTTAATTTTATCGGATTCAATTTGTAAATACGTGCGACCAGAGGAGGTAAGTGCCGATAATATACAGGTAAAAATATCTTTTGAATCTGGCTGCGATTGCAGCAGAATGTTAACATTTTTAGAAGAACAAAATATTGATCAAAGTAGTATATTCCAAGCTGATTTTGTAATTTTTTCTCTATGTACAAATGATGTTGCTAATTTAGGTTCTGATCTTGCTATGAAAAATTGTCGTATTTTAATAGAACGTATACGAAAATTATTTCCTCATTTGAAATCAATTGGATGGCTAGCACTTTCACCACGATCAAAACCATCTAAATTATTCAATTCTATAACTATTAATGAGAAATATCAAGAATTTAATCAATATCTTACGAAATTATCAAAAGAAATGAATTTTGAAATAATTAATGCCAATCTCCAACACCAACACATGCATTACGATGGTTTACATCCATCAATACAATCGGGACGTGCTTTGATCGAAAAAGCATTTTATAACTGGTTCGTAAAACAGACAAAACAAGTTTCTATAACATCACATCATCATCACTCTACTATTATTGCTAATCATGATCAACATAATCAGACTACAACGGCTCATAATAATAATAATCGTCATCATCATAATCATACTACAACTGTTCATAACAATAATAATCGTCATCATCATAACCATACCACTACTGATTATAATCATTATAATCATGCTACTGGTACTACTAATCGTAATCATTATAATCATGCTACTGCTACTACTAATCATAATCATTATAATCTTTCTACTGCTACTGCTACTAATATTTATCATCATCATAATTCTACTACTACTAATAATAATAATAATATCCGTACTATGAATAATAAGAATACTCACAATAAAAACAATACCAATCGGTTAAAAAAGAAAGATACATTAAAAAAATGAAAATTCAAATAACTTACCAAGTAAGTTATTAATTCCACAATATCCACATTTCTTACGACATAAAGATGAATTCTTTCGAAAAATTACAATACCAAGAGAATTAGAAGATAAAAAAAGAAGATATTTTTCTGCTAAGTAACATTCATTTTCAAACAGAATATTTTCAATTAGAAGCCGAAAAATGGAAAATATACATGACAGCTGCAGCTAATAAGAAAACAGTCGAGCAAATAGAACCAATGGAAACTATAATAGAAGACAATGATAATGAACTACCTATTGCCAGACCATCACCTACAGGTCTAGCAAGACCTCCACCCAGTTTAGACTTCAGTGATTATCCCGAAATTTTTGATGAATGGTTGCCAGAACCAACACCAGGGCAAAAACGTAAACTTGGACATCGACGTGATGATCCACCAACACCACCTTCTCCACGTCAACCCCCACCAATCATTCCTAGAAAGACATTACCACCAAGAAATCCTAATATATCATTAGTTGGAGGCTCTCTTCAGACATCTCCAATTACAATTGATACAGAAAATAAAATTAGTCGTAAACAACAACATTCTTTCAATTCACTTTTACCTCTTGAACAACATAAAAATCAAAATGAACAACAAATAATAAAAACACCAAATATAATTGCATTACTAGAAAATGAACCATCAATGATAATATCACCTATACGAAATTCCACACCAGAACGAATAATACGAACACCATCAGTTATACCAAAAAATACCATCACACCTTATAGTTCATTTAAATTTGCAATCATTCCTATCGAATGTAGATATTATTTTAAACGAATGAGAGAGAAATGTACCTTTGAAATAATAAAAGCTCATCAAGAATTTCTTGAAAATAAGTATAAAACATTAGAAAATGAAAGAGAAAAAAAAGTTATATTCTTCGTTCCCAAATCAAATAAGAACACGAATTGTTGAATTTATGAGAAATATTATTGAACAATCACTTGACAGAAAAAAGAAAGATAATCAAAAACGACTAGATAATCTATTACTAGATCAGATGAGAGAAAAAGCTACATTCGAAATCAAACGAACAGCAGCATCAGTAGAACAAGAATATATACAGAATGCACATGAAAAATTCATAAGAACATTAGATTTAAAATTGCAATTGGACAAATTAGAAAAAAGATTTGTAGAGAATATGCCACCACCATCACTTAATAGTTTTGATAAATTACAATTGCATGCCAAAGGTCTTAAATCAGATAATGTTCATTTGAGTTCTCTTCGGGAACAATGGAAGAATGTACTACGAAAAACGAAATTAGACTTAACTGCATTAATGAGAGAGGCAAAAATCAGAGAATTAGAAGAAGCCAACAAAGAATACGAACAATTATTAAGAAAACTACCAGATCACTTTCGAGAACAATATGATATTTTATGTCACGTATCAGGAACGAGGCACAACCAATTTGCAAAACGAAAACTGAATTTTTTAGCAAAAAGGGCGTGCACAATGAACGAAAGCTAGTGCACGCCCTATCCCGACATCATCCAGGATTTCCAAAAGCGAAATTACATCCGCACTACAGTCGAATCGGATTTCCACCACAAGTAAATAATAAAGCAATGATTTTGCATGATGCAGAAGCCCGAGTACTGAATCTTGGACCAAAATTTGTTCCGCCAGCACCTGAACAAGTTCTAGAACGCTTACCAAAAGAAATAGGAGAAATGAAAGAAAAAGTGGCGGCAGCATGGAGGAGAATGACTAAGACAATAGCACGAGAACCACCTATAGTCACAAAATTTGCTCAAAGAATAGAAGATGAAATAAGGAAAATGGTAGCAACAGAAACATCAAAAGACTCGAACTTGAAACCAGCTATAACATTCTTCCAAAAAATTCAGAAACAGAAAAGAATAATTTTCAGACAGACCGACAAGTCTAAAGTATTCCATCTCGACACTCGAGAAAATTACATAACAAAATCAGCGATATATATGGCAAAGACAAATGCCTACATTGAAATACCTAGTTCTCCACTAGAAGACATGATTCAAAAAACAGACAAATTCTTACGAGATTTAGTTTCAAATAAACAAATGCCTCAATTCATGTTAGAAAGACTACGACCATCGCTCACTGAATCTGAATTACCTCACTTATACTATAACCCGAAAGATCACAAACTTGAAGAACCCCTTCGGCCTATAGTGAGTGGTATAAAATCACCATTGGCAAAAATATCAAGCTTTCTAGATCGAAGTATTCGTCCTCTCTTTAATAAGCACACTCCTTACTCACTCTCCGACTCCATATTTTTCTTAAAACAATTAAAAAACTTCAAAACAACGGATGAAACAAGAATGTATACATTTGACATAGCCGACATGTATACGATGATCCCTCAAAAAGAGGCAGTCCTGGCTGTATGTGAGTTTCTAGGCAGAGATGGATATAAAAAGGTCCAAGGTCTATCTATCAATACGATAAAAGCTCTTTTTTCACATGTATTAGAAAACTCATACTTTGTCCTACAACTACCAGGGTTAGAACCAAAATTCTACAAGCAAATCAAAGGAGGAGCAATGGGATCCGCCTGCACACAAGTACTGGCCGATATATATGTAAGAAAATGGGAAAGCTCATTTGTAGAACAACAATATCGACAAGAAGAATTATATTTTCGTTTCCGAGATGATATTTTTTTCACCACTAGACTGTCATCGCAACAGATAGAAAATATCTTATCAGAACTAGATAAAAAAGATCCAAATATACGCATCATATGGACAGGTGCAAAAACAGTGGACTACCTAGATGTAACAACAACTATAGAAATACCCAATTTCAGAACGACACTCTTTCGAAAACTCGCAGCTCAACCTTATGTACTTCCGTTCAATTCATCACATCCACCTCATATTACCCGAAACATCCCTTATGCAGCCACATTAAGAGCAACCCGTATATGTTCACACCCAGAAGATCTTCGTGTCGAATTAGACAAAATTAGGATCATGCTTCTACTGAATAAATATCCTCCTCAATTCATAAATAAGCATATGGGACGTTTTTTTCAAGACTTGACAGGCACAACAACACCGAACATACTTCTAGGAGGAGATCACGCAACATTAAGAAATTTAGTTCTGGATGTAACATGGAACAAAAAAGATAAAAAGAAAATAGAATTTGGTAAAGATATCTTGCTGCATTTTTCCTACGCACCATCCCTGGCGCATTTCGGATCACACTTTCACCAAATATGGCAAGAAGTTTTTGAAGGAACTCCACTAGATGACATACCTGTAATGTACGCTAATAGACTTACGAATAATTTGAAACATCTATTAGTAAAGAAAAAACCGAACAAACAAGCAACGAAACTCCCTCTCCACTAAACATCAATAAGAGATTAAAAAGGTCCTAAACAAAATAATATATATGTAATATGTACCTTTAACCTATTTCATCCCTTCTCTCATCTGCCTTCCAATTTTTTATATTTACGCCTTATCTAAATACATCGAAAAATGGCCCCCTTTGCCAGCAACCTCATCCCGATATATCCATGCATCGCGATATTCTCACCTCATCCCACTTAATGAAAAATACTCACATCTTCTATTGTCCTATAATTATTGAAAAAAAAGATTTTCTCACCCGCTTGTAATCTGTGTAAGAATATTTCTATCAATTTCTTCTTTCATCAACATGATTTAACGGAAAACACATCATCCTACCTAACTTCTTATAACCTTCGTAAGAATATTTCTATCGACTTTCTCTCTCATTAACATTAGTTAATGTAAAATGTCTCGCATTTTCCTACTTTTGCGTAAAATACTTAATGTAAAAATATCTCATATTTTTCTATCGTTCTAACTTTTCTGTAATCTTTGTAAGAATATGTCTATCGAATATGTCTATCGATTTCTTCTCTCATTAACATTATTTAATATATAATATCCCATATTTTCTACTTTTGCGTAATTACTCAATGTAAAATATCTCATATTTTTCTATCGTTCTACTTTTTTGTAATCTTTTATAAGAATATGTCTATCGGATATTTCTATCGATTCTACCCCGCATCAACATTAGTTAATGTAAAATACCTCATACTTTCTAGTCTTATGTAGTATTGAAAAAAACATTTTCTATCTTCTATCTTCATATAATCATTGTAAAAAAAAACATTCTCTATCTTCTATCTCCATATAATTATTGTAAAAAACATTTTCTGTCTTCTATCCACATATAATTATTGTAAAAAAACATTTTCTATCTTCTATCTTCATATAACTATTGTAAAAAGACTTTCTCCCATCTTCTTGTAATCCTTATAAAAATATCCCTATCGATTTCTCCTCACATTAACTGTAAAATATAACTATAAAATGTATCGTTTAATACATATATCTTTCAAAAAATCATTGCAAAAGAATCATTGTGAAAACGTCTTCTCACCCCCCCCCCCCCCATTTCGTCACTTCACCATATCAACGAAAAATATTGTATCCCGATATTGCCTACCTTAATTAAAGTCGAAAAAATGCATTATCAAAAAAAGCGCAATTAACTGAGAAATTCATTAAAATGCATTATCAAAAAAGCACCACAAAAATTTCAAAAAAATGCATCATCAAATAACATTGCAAGAAATTCAAAAAAATGCATTATCAAATAACATCACGATAAGCTAAAAATCCATTAGAATACATTAATAAAAAGCAGCACATCACAATCAACTAAAAATTCATGAAAATTCATTAAGATGCATTATTAAAAAAAACTTTTGAAACCCATTAAAATGCGCTATCAAGAAACTCATTAAAACTCATTAAAATGCATTATCAAGATATCCATTAAAACTCATTAAAATTCATTAAAATCCAATGAAGTTGATTAACATTCATAAAAATCCATTGAAGTTGATTAAAATTCATTAAAATCCATTAAAATTCATTGAAATTAATTAAAATCCATTAAAATCCATTAAAATTCATTGAAATTGATTAAAATTCATTAAAATGCATTAAAACGTATTAACAAAAAACCAGCACATCACAA